GTAGGACCTTGTGTTGTTAACAGAATTTTGCAGTTTGTCAGAGAAAGGTTTGACACCGTTCAGCACATGGTCCTCAGAGCCCAATACCAACCTGTAAATGCTGAAACAGAGTCAGACTTATAAGACCCAAGATTGGCTCTAGAGTTACCTGAAAAGAAGGGGGGAATGAAAGGAGGCACATCCCCCCATATATCTCCCAACTCCCTGAGCCCAGCACGAGTCTAGCACAAACACATTCCTCCATATTTCTTTCAAACTTCAGGAAAACATCACCTGGGAAATCTCTGATAAGGACGCAGCGGGAACCAATAAAAAATGCTAAATGTATAATATTAACCAATTGTAATGCTGTAACCGAGAGAATTACCTTGTTCCCCTGTAACTTTACATATCCTGTTTACATCGGGCTATAAAAAGCAAGCACTCGCATTGTTCGAGGCCCTCTTGTATGCTGTGGAATGGAGGGACCAAGTTCGAACTTGTAGTAAAGATCCTTGCCGCTTGGCTTTGACTGTGGACTCTGGTGGTCTTCTTTGGGGAACAAACGGTCTGGGTATAACAATTTAATTTTGATTTTTTTTGTACATACATCTATTGTTTCATTTTTAGGTAGTTAAATATATCAGTTTTTGTGTTTATTCTCTTGCCTTATTTATTAACCTTGGTTATTTGTTATTTTTATGTATTTTACTTTCCAAATGTATTTGGAATCCAGCTTCTGAAGATACAAATTATTTTCTTTATACCAAAGCAATGAACATTTCATGGGTTTTTTCAGTAAAATGATTCATTTCCTTTTGGATATATACCTACGAATAGGATTGCTATATCAGATGGTAGTCCTGTATCAAGTTCTTTGAGACATCTCTGAACTGTTTTCCACAGTGGCTGAACCACTTTGCATTCCCACCAACAGTGTGTAAGTGTTCCCTTTTCTCCCCAGCCTCACCAGCATCTATTGTTTCTTGGCTTTTGCATAGTAGGTAGTCTGATTGGTGTGAGATGGTATTTCATTGTGGTTTTGATTTGCATTTCTTTGATCAGTGATGTTGAGCATTTTTTCATGTGTTTTTTGGCCGCTTGTATGTCTTCTTTTGAAAACTGCCTGCTTCTGTCTTTTGTCCACTTTTTAATGGGCTTATTTGTTTTTTTTTGCTTGTTGAATGAAGTTCCTTATAGATTCTGGATATTAGACCTCTGTTGGATGCATAGTGTGTGAATATTTTCTCCCATTCTGTATGTTGTCTGTTTGCTCCGTTGATAGTTTCTTTTGCTGTGCAGATCCTCTTCAGTTTAACCAGGTCCCATTTGTCAATATACATTTTCATTGCAATTGCTTTAGAGGACTTACTGTTAAATTCTTTCCCAAGGCCAATGTCCAGAATGATGTTTCCTAGGTTTTCTTCTAGGATTCTTATAGTTTGAGATCTTACATTTAAATCTTAAATTCATCTGGAGTTAATTTTTGAATATAGTGAATGGCAGGGGTCTAGTTTCATTCTTCTGCATATGGCTAGCCAGCCATCTCAGCAACATTTATTGAATAAGTTGTCCTTTCCCCATTGCTTGTTTTTGTTGACTTTGTCAAGGACCAGATGGCTGTAGGTATGCAACTTCATTTCTTGGTTCTCTGTTCCACTGGGCTATGTTGTTTTGTTTTGTTTTTACCAGCACCACGCTCTATTGATATAGTTTGAAGCCAGGTAATATGATACTGATACCTCCAGCTTTGTTCTTTTTGCTTAGGATTGCTTTGGCTATTTGGGCTTTTTTTTGGTTCCATATGAATTTTAGAATATCAACTTAGGTTACATCAGTTGTGGACTGGATAAAGAATATGCGGTACATACACACCATGGAATACCATACGCAGCCAAAAGAAATAATGAAGTCATGTCCTTTGTAACAATATGTATGCAACTAGAGGCCATCATCCTAAGCCAATTAACACAGACACAGAAAAACAAATACTGCATGTTCTCACAAGGTCAGGAGATCAAGACCATCTTGGCTAACATGGGAAAACCTGGTCTCTACTAAAAATACAGAAAATTAGCCAGGCATGGTGGCGGGTGCCTGTAGTCCCAGCTACTCTGGAGGCTGAGGCAGGACAAGGGAGTGAATCTGGGAGGCAGAGCTTGCAGTAAGGCGAGATCAAGCCACTGCACTTCAGCCTGGGTGACAGAGTGAGACTCTGTCTCAAAAAACAAAACAAAACAAAAAACCCAAAAAACCCAGGAAACAAAAGATGTGGAAAACAGTCAGTGATGCCATTATATTGAATCCCAGAGAAAGCACAGTATAAACGATGTGTTTTCTAGCAGGGGGACCAGACAGACTAGTACACTCGCAATGGATGAGTGGCCCCAGCTTACATGGTCTAGTGTATTTTATCAACGGCTGAGAGAAGTATTAGTAGCCCAGTAGGTTTGGGTAAAGGTATCAGAATCCTTAGTGCTAGTCTCATAGCTTAAAATGGAGCAGGTACTCCAGATATACTTCCTGAACTGACCTGGATGATGAGGCTTTAAAATCAACAGAGCTGGACAGTATAAAGTTAATGGAAAACCTCAACTTTTCATTTTATTTTGATATGTTAGTGAATACCTACTCATCTAGTATTTCAAGTGTGGATCACATAAACACCACGTAGAATGTAGTAAACAGAATTAAGTAAGAAACACACTGGCTATTAATGCCAGAGTCTTTGACTATCAAGTCATAAATATAACCAATTGTGCAATATAACCGATATGATGAGAAAAGCACCCCTCACAATTGACAATTTTAGTTCATACGATTAAAAAAAATTAAATCTGAAACTGCATTTAGTGCCACATTCTATCATATCATACATCAGATTCCATGCTGTGGAGCTGCACTGGGCTCCAGGACATACAGTACATAGCATGTTTATAGCATGTTTTAAACTGAAAGGGAAAGGGAAAATATGAAACAGAAAATTTTTACATACACATCTAATGGTGTTGTCCATTTAATTGGATTTATATGATTTGCTGTGCCACTTTGACTAGCTGGCAGAACACCCCAAATTCTCTTTTCCCCATAAAGATCTACTTCCATACAGTGTAGAAAAGGATGGTGGTAAAAAACCTCAGATTCTTAAGGTTCCAACAATTGTGTCCCAAATGCCACTGTATGAACACCTGTGTGCTGTCCCATGGCTCCTAACAACCACACTTCTGAGCTTTTGGGGCCTGTGTGCACCGCAGTGATCTCAGCTGTCTCAATACAGCATCTCTGTACTGAACACCTGAGCCCATTCTTTCTGGGTCCAGCTCATCTGATTCAATTTTGTTAAGTATTTTTTCTTGCACACTGTACAAAAGCCTCTTCTACATTCTCCCCTGTTAGTGCACTTGTTTCCAAAAACATCAGCTAATTTTCTTGAGCAAATCTGGAGGCTTCTAAGAAGGTAACTTCACGATCTGCATTCCACAAAGGATGATCACAATGTTCTGACTCGCTAGCATTCGGGCATCTGTTAACCAATTAGTAAGTGCATTGTAGGTTTCTCGGCTGCTGATATTATAGACGAGGAGAGCCCCGGTCGCCCCTGGGTAATAACTTCTCTTCACAGACTTGAATCGTTCTTGTCGTGCTGTATCCCGTATTTGTAACTTTACATATTTACCACAAACATTTATTACCTTTGAACCAAATTCCACTCCTATTGTATGATTTGAGTCATTTTGATTTTTTTTTTCAATAAACTGACGAAATAAGCAAGAGTTGCCAGTTCTGCATTTCCAATAACTAAGAACTTAAAAAAAATAGTAGGTTTCGTACACGGCCGTCTGAGACTTCTTGGGAGCGGCGCCGCCTCTTGCCGGGTCACTGGCTGCACTCGCCCGCGGTCAGCCGGCGCGTCTCCGTGGGGAAGGACCTGGTGGGGGGCACCGGAGGAGGGAGGGGCCCGACAGGTCCCCACTGCAACCGCTGGCCTCCCAGCGGCTGCGGTAGAGCAGGACTCCAGGTCCACGCAGGCGCAGGGCCCTCCACCCTCGGTCCAGCCGCGACCGCAAGAAGGGTATGTCCTCTTCTAATAGCTGTCTGTTTAGCCTTATATACATCATTTTAATAATTGTTTCATACATTTAAATACCTAATTAGCATTACTCCTTAACTCTTAAAATTTTATAAATATTTTAATTTTAATTAAAGATACATTTTAGAATCACTTTGTCCTACTCAAATAAAATTCTAATTTGGATTTTGGCAAAATTACTATTAAATAAATCGATTTTAGGTAGGTTGTTCACAAACATGATGAAAGATTTTCTCTATGTCCATATCTCCTTAGCAATGTGACTGCTGTTTCCGCTATTAAGGGGTGGGGGCTGTTTCTTCATTTTTTGAATCTTGGTGGACTTGTGACTTGCTTTGACAAATGCAATTTGGTGGAAGTGACCCTGTGCCTGCTCCAAGCCTGGACTCCTGGAAGAAGCTTTGAGAGCTTCTCACTTCCCTTTGGAACCTGTTCAGCTGCAATGTGATCAAGCCCAAATTAGCCTCCTGGAAGATGAGAGACCCCAGGGAACAGAAGGGCACTGCCCCAGCTAAGATTATCCTGGACCGACCTGCTCCAGCTGGCCTGCAAACTGGCTTCAGATACCTGAGTCAGCCCCATGAGACAAGATAAGCCACCCACTGAGTCCAGTACAAATTACTTACAGAATGAATGCTAAGAAAAATAAATGGTGGTTGTTTAAAGTTTCTGAGATTTGCAGTAGTTTGTTTTTCTGCCAAAGATAACTGATACACATTAAATATTTTATATTTTTATTATGCACTGAATTCCATCTACCCAGAATTCACATGTTGTAGCCCTATCTCCCACAGGGACTATGTTTGGAGACACGGACTTTCAAGAAGTAAAGTCAGAAGAGTGGGACACTAACCCAATATGACTACTGTCCTTATAAAAACAGACAGAAACAAGGGATGTGGATGCACAGAGTAAAGGCCATGTGAAGACACAGTGAGACAGTGCCATCTGCAAGACAAAGAAAGAGGCCTCAGGTAAACCAACCCTGCTGACACCTTGATCTTAAACTTCCAGCCTCCAAAACTCCATAGGTGTCAATATGCTCCTGAACATCCCTTGGTAGCTTTTCTTCAAAAGGATTTCTCCAAAGCTTTATGAGAAGAAAGTAATAACTCTGTGAGTGGAATGAACACGTCACAAAGCAGCTCCTCAGAAATCTTCTCTCCAGTTTCTATCTGAAGATATTTCCTTTTTCACTGTAGCCATCCGTATACTCCCGAAGCTTCTTTCCAGTTTTTGCCTGAGGCTATTTCAATTTTCACCATAGGCATCAATATGCTCTCGAATATCCCTTGGTACCTTTTTCTCCAAAAGGGTTTCCCCGATACCGTATGAGAAGAGAGGTATAACACTGTGAGTGGGATGCATATGTCACAAAGCAGTTTCTCGGGAAGCTTCTCTCCAGTTTCTATCTGAACACATATCCTTTTTCACAGTAAGCCTCAAAGCGCTCCCGAATATCCCTTCGCACTCTAAACATAAACAGTGTTAGAAAACTGCTCAATGAAAAGAGAAGCTTACCTGAGTGAGAGGAATTCACATGACACAGAGCAGTTTCATAGAAAGATTCCTTCTGGTTCATATCAGAGGATATTTCTTTCTCCATATTCTAAACAGCGTTCCCAAACGTCCTTCCTCAGATTCCACAGAAAGGGAATCCAAAGAATGGTTTAACTCTATGAGATGAAAACACACATCACAAAGCAGTTGCTCAGAAAGCTTCTCTCTAGTTTTCATCAGAAGACATTTCCTTGCTCACCACAGGCCTCCGGGCGCCACTTAATATCCCTTCGCAGATTCCTCAAAGACAGAGTTTCCCAACTGGGCAATGTAGAGTAAGCTTTAACTCTGTGAAATGAATGCAGATATCAGAGAGCAGTTTCTTGGAACGCTTCTTTCTGGGTTTTATTTGAGGATATTTCCCTTATTGCTATAGTCTTCAATGCGATCCGAAATATCACTTTTTCTGTTTTCCAGGAACAGTGTTCAAACACTGCCTTATGAGAAAAGAGGTATAACTCCCTGAGTGGAATGCACACATCACAAAGCAGCTTCTCAGAAAGCTTCTCTCCAGTTTTTATCTGAAGACATTTCCTTTTTCACTATAGTCCTGAATGTACTCCCGAATGTCCCTTGGCGGATCCGTCCATGACGGAATTTCCCAGCTGCTTAATGTAAAGAAAGCTTTATCTATGTGAGATGAACAAACGTAGGGAAAAGCAGATTCACAGAAAGCTTCTTTCCAGTTTTTATCTGAAGATACTTCCTTTTTCACCATAGTCCTGAATGTGCTCCCAAATGTCCCTTCACAGATCCGTCCATGACAGAGATTCCAAGCTGTGTAATGTAAATAAAGCTTCATCTATGTGTGGTGAATACACATAGCACAGAGCAGTTTCACAGAAAGCTTCCTTCCAGTTTTTGTCTGAGGCTATTTCAGTTTTCACCATAGGCGTCAATATGCTCCCGTATACACCTTGGTACCTTTTTCTCCAAAAGGGTTTCCCCGATGATGTATGAGAAGAGAGGTATAACACTGTGAGTGGAATGCACATGTCACAAAGCCGTTCCTCAGAAAACTTTTCTCCAGTTTCTATCTGAACAGATTTCCTTTTTCACAGTAAGCCTCAAAGCGCTCCCGAATATCCCTTCACACGCTAAACATAAACAGTGTTAGAAAATTGCTCAATGAAAAGAGAAGCTTAACTGAGCGAGAGGAATTCACATGACAAATAGCAGTTTAACAGAAAGCTTCCTTATGGTTTTTATCTGGGGATATTTCTTTCTCCATATTCTAAAGAGTGTACCCAAATGTCCTTCCTCAGATTCCAACTGCTCAATCCAAAGAATGGTTTAACTCTATGAGATGAAAACACATGTCACAAACTGCTCAATCCAAAAACAGTGATTTCAAACTGCTCAATCCAAAAAGTGGTTTTAACTCTATGAGATGAATACACACATCACAAAACAGTTGCTCAGAAAGTTTCTCTCCAGTTTTCATCGGAAGACGTTTCCTTGCTCACCACAGGCCTCTGGGCGCCACTTAATATTCCTTCGCACATTCCTCAAAGACAGAGTTTCCCAACTGGGCAACGTAGAGAAAGCTTAACTCTTTGAAATGAATGCACATATCAGAGAGCAGTTTCTTGGAACGCTTCTTTCTTTGTTTTATTTGAGGATATTTCACTTTTCGCCATAGTCTTCAATGCACCCCATAATATCACTTTTTCGGTTTTACAGAAACTGTGTTCAAACACTGCCTTACGAGAAAAAAGATACAACTCCCTGAGTGGAATGCACACATCACAAAGCAGTTTCTCAGAAAGCTTCTCTCCAGGTTTTATCTGAAGAGATTTCCTTTTTCACCATAGGCCTGAATGTGCTCCCGAATGTCCCTTCGCAAATCCGTCCATGACGGAGTTTCTAAACTGCGTAATATAAAGAAAGTTTTATCTATGTGAGTTGAATAAACATATCTATCACAAAGCAGTTTCACAGAAAGCTTCTTTCCAATTTTTGTCTGAGGATATTTCGTTTTTCACCATAACCATCCATATACTCCCGAATGTCCCTTGGTATCTTTTTCTCCAAAAGGGATTCCCCAATCCTCTATGAGAAGAAAGGTGTAACTCTGTGAATAGAATGCACACGTCACAAAGCAGCTCCTCGGAAAGTTTATCTCCAGTTTCTATCTGAAGACATTTCCGTTTTCACCATAAGCCTCAAAGCGCTCCCGAATATCCCTTCGGAGACTACACAAAAACAGTGTGAGCATACTGCTGAATGAAAAGAGAAGCTTAACCATATCTATGTGAGTTGAATAAACATATCTATCACAAAGCAGTTTCACAGAAAGCTTCTTTCCAATTTTTGTCTGAGGATATTTCGTTTTTCACCATAACCATCCATATACTCCCGAATGTCCCTTGGTATCTTTTTCTCCAAAAGGGATTCCCCAATCCTCTATGAGAAGAAAGGTGTAACTCTGTGAATAGAATGCACACGTCACAAAGCAGCTCCTCGGAAAGTTTATCTCCAGTTTCTATCTGAAGACATTTCCGTTTTCACCATAAGCCTCAAAGCGCTCCCGAATATCCCTTCGGAGACTACACAAAAACAGTGTGAGCATACTGCTGAATGAAAAGAGAAGCTTAACCACGCAAGTGGAATTCACATGACACAGAGCCATTTCACAGAAAGCTTCCTTCTGGTTTTTATCTGAGGGTATTTCTCTTTCAGCATATTCTAAAGAGTGTTCCCAAATGTCCTTTCTCAGGTTCCACAGGAACAGTGATTTCAAACTGCTCAATCCAAAGAATGATTTAACTCTATGAGATGAATACACATGTCACAAAGCAGTTACTCAGAAAGCTTCTCTCCTGTTTTTAACGGAAGACATTTCTTGTCTCACCACAGGCCTCTGGGCACCACTTAATGTCCCTTCCCAGGTTCCTCAAAGACACAGTTTCCAAAGTGGGCAATGTACAGTAAGCTTTAACTCTGTCAAGTGAATGGACATATCAGAGAGCAGTTTCTTGGAATGCTTCTTTCTGGCTTTTATTTGAGGATATTTCACTTTTTGCCATAGTTTTCAATGTGCTCCGAAATATCACTTTTTCTGTTTTACAGGAACAGTGTTCAAACACTGCCTTATGAGAAAAGAGGTATAACTCCCTGAGTGGAATGCACACATCACAAAGCAGTTTCTCAGAAAGCTTCTCTCCGGTTTTTATCTGAGGATATTTCCTTTTTCACCGTAGTCCCGAATGTGCTCCCCAATGTCCCTTCGCGGATCCCTCAATGAAAGAGTTTTCAAGCTACGTAATGTAAAGAAAGCTTTATCTATGTGAGATGAATACACATAACACAGAGCAGTTTCACAGAAAGCTTCTTTCCAGTTTTTGCCTGAGGCTATTTCCCTATTCACCATAGGCCTCAGTATGCTCCTGAATATACCTTGGTACCTTTTTCTCCAAAAGGGTTTCCCCATG